GAGAGAGAGAGAGAGAGAGAAAGCAACGGATCCCCTTCACACCTATCAGAGGGCCCATGCAGGTAATCTGAAGGGTCCTCGCAGCAATTTAGCGCAGACCCTCCACCAAAATTGAGGCAGGATGTGAATATGAAGTGAAGCACGAGCAGGCCGAATATATACTCAGGCTTCGAATTCAGGTCTGTGTCTCAGCAGTTATGGGTTGCTCACTTAGCTAGGCCCTGTTGGTCTCTGCACGTGATTCTCAGGGCTTGGCTGCACTACTCACCAAATGTGCAAAATTAGAATGATATCTTCTGCTAGAACGTGGAATAATACGCCGCCATACGTTTTGTCTTTTGTGCGTGTGGCGAGTAGAGGCCCTTAGGACCACTGCACGTATTCCTAAGAAAAGAAAAACGAGAAAAAAGAGAACTAGTGACCCATAACCGTGATGCACAGACCTGAATTCGAATCCAGACTATATACTCTCGGCCCACACACACAAACTGGAAGTCTAAAGTCTTTCTCTGCGCCACGTGGAATCCTCGCTAATTTGTTGTTGGGGCCCTTCGGAAAAGAGACTGGACACAATTAGGACATGCAAACCCAGGGCTAGCTCAGTTGGTTTGAGCACGGAAGTGGTTTGCAGGAGGTCGCGGGTTCAATTCACCACGTCGTCCATTCTATCCCCACGGCCTCCTGTGATGCACTTCGGGTTCTCCAGCGGAGATGATTGGCTTGGGCCTCCTGGCTGGCTGGGAAACGACAATTTGCGCCTTCCAGGTTGCGCCTGGTGTTAGAAGCTTGGGTGCTGCTCCCCGCACAGAGGAGATGTGGCTTCTAACTTAGGAGAGATTTCCTGCCTTGGGCATGAAAAACCCTGTAGTGGATTGCTAAGCTGCGTGTAGGTAGGTAGGTAGGTAGTGGGAGATATATCGAGAGAAGAATATAGGTTAGTTTTAAAAACAAAAAGAAAAAAAAAGGACATGCACACCCACACGCACAGACATGTGCTCACAGTTCTGGGGTATGGCATGGCCCGGACGTATTTCCCTCTTGCTTTCTGATTTTTAGAAGGGAGGGGCATGTTTGGCCACCCCACCCTGTCCGGGCGTGGGCCCGGGCAGCCCCAGCGGGAAAAAAAAAAAAAAAAACCTCCAAAAAAATCTGAAAAAAAAGTATGTTGTGTAGAATTGCAATACAAACAACTTTTGGCTGAGGGTCACATCAGAATTCCTCACGGAACTGAAGATTAAAAAAAAAAAAAAACAAATCATACTAAGGCACCCCTCTTTAAACCCCTTTAGCCCCTTTAAAATTCATTTATACTCCCCTTCCCCCTCCTTGACAGCCAACTCTCAAAAAAAGAAAAGAGCCCGGATTTGGGCTCCTCTCGGAGAGCGTGGGAAAACCCCACCGCCAATTCTTTTTTCTTTTTCTTTTTATGTTTTTTTTCCTGACGCCCGGGTATCCCGGGCGTCACGCCCGGGTGACCAGTCGGTCCAGACCGGCCACTCGTAAAAATCTTCCTAGACAACTGGCTATTTTCCCATCTTTTCCGAACTTTTCGGGGGTTGGATGAGGCTCGTCAGTTGGGCCTTGTGGGCCCCTTCGAAAACCAAAAAGAAAAACGAAAGATCATGTCAGGGAAGGCCGTGCACCAAGTTGTGCTCACACCAAAACTCACACGTTCGTATCTAACCGCTGTAGTGGCCAGTTTCAGATTTTCATTGTTCGTGTTTCTCGTTTCCTTTCTTTTTTTTGTTTTGGTGCCCCTCCAGGGAGGCACGGCGCAGTCCACGGGCGGCTGACACTTTGTGGAGGAGGGCATGCCCACGCTATTACTTTGCAGAATGTACGAACTGCAAGGAAAATGAGCAATAGCGAGATAACAATAACCAGATTTCACAATCACACTGAAGGCCAGATAGTACCAGTGTCCAGAAAGCAGAAATGCACCAATATAACACCAATGAAAATTCGTAACACTGAAAACCAATGTCAATGAGAGCTTGCTCTCGCCACCACCAACATGAGTGTCCAGGCCCTATCTCCCTACTTGGCGCTCGGCGCCCAACCTACTTCCTACACAGCTACTCTCTCCCTACTCATTGACAATGCAACTGTTGACGTCAGCAGCCTACAAAGTACTTGAAGATGTCGCCCATGCAGACCATCGCCAATACCAGGTATGTGCCCTCACATCATCATCATCATCATCCTTCTCTCTGTCCCCTGTCTTACTCCCACGTCTTCCCTCTGTACACCCGAAGACCACCTCTGTGCCTCACTGTAGTCCAAGCCCAACCAGTCATGGAGGCTGGGCTATGGCGCTGCCCTCAGCAGCGCCCTGCTCCTTGCACGACCGCACACGCTAGCACCTTGCCTCTCAGCGCCAGCAGCAGCCCACAAGCGTCCGCTCCAGCAGCGCTGCGGCCAGCATGCAAGTGCTGAATGAGAGGCCAGGCAGTGAACTCTTCCCTATATGGAATGAGCCGGCCTGCCTTCGCAGCCTGGCTGGCCTGGGCCTCGGCCCAGAGGCTTCTGGTAGGACCCAGTATGCTGCGCCTCTGTTGCAGCTACCGGGCCTCATTTGGTTGGGCCTCCCAACTGTCTGTGTATGAGGCTGCGATTCTCGCCCAGGGCCTGCATTTTTTTCTGAAAGGCCCGGAAGGCCGTGGAATGTCTCGCTGCACGGCCTGTGTTTCCCTCCACCAACTGGAGCGACGAAACTTCCTGGACCCCAAATACGAATTCGACAGCTTAGGGCCTCTCGTGATTTGTTAGGGCTGCCTTCACTTAGGGCGGGCACATCTGCAGCAGAGGCCCCTTAGGCCTGCCGAGCACCCAGATCTCGCAGAACCCGCTTTCCCGGCCTAAGTTCAGTTTCAATTTCTTTTTCCCCTTCTTCCGTGAACCTGACACCCTTGCCGTACACGCCCTCACTGACAGCATACTCGCACAATGACTTTGCGCTAGATGTCTACCTGGTATCACGACCAGAGGGATGTTTGTTTTTTTTCTTTTATTTTTTTGTGGCTGCTTTTCGAAAGTCTGGCCGTGCTTTTTGTCTTTTTTTTCAGAAGAGTACCAGAAAAGATACAAAACGGAACCCAGGCTCGGCAAAACTCGGTGCGCAGTGAAAATCAGGGTCGGCAAAAACGGGCTCGGAGGTAGTGGTGGTTTAATTACTAATTTCTTAGTAATTTTTCCTAGGCTACCAGCCGGGCCGCCCGGGTCACCCTATTCTCCCGGACGGCCCGGCCGTGCAAGGACCAGGGAAGGTCCTCGCAAAAAAAAAAAAAAAAAAAAAAAAAAAAAAAAAAAAAAAAAAAAAAACTATGTTGTGCAGAAAAATAAACTGAACAACTTTTGCCTCAGGGTCACATCGACATTCTTTACCAACTTTAAAATAAAAAATGACGTTTTTTTTTTCAGAGTTTTTCTTTTTCTTTTTTTTTTTGGCCCGGTCGGGCAAGTGGCCCCGGGCCATTCTGGTAGCCGAGAATTTTACTAATTTAGTAATTTCTTACAATTGTACCATGACTGGCTGGCTGAGGAAAATCTATTGAGGATGCAGCAAAAACCAAAACAGGAACGACCATCTTAGCCCAAATAGAACGCCCGGTTGTAAGCCGTATCTAGACTGAAAGTTGGCCCAAATACGGCGATAGTGAAGATGGTGAAGCTCAAATATTCAAGGCCATGGGAGAGGGAATGGTTCTGTAGGTTGTACTCAACTTAGTTCCCTGACGTTAGGTCTGCATCGAATTCCCATAACCATGCAGGTGTAGAATTCACTAAAAAATCAGCTTTGCATCACGAAAGACCTTGCGTTCGAACAGGGAAAGATGCACCACTATAATTTTTGTCGTTTGTGCAAGTGGTGAGTGGTGGAGCGAGGCCCTACATGAGTAGATATCAGCAATGCTATGACATATGACATATCAGAATAGAAGAATACTGATATGCCCTGCTATTAGTAGCAATAGCGTGACCGGTGGGGAACTCTTTATTCTATCACAGAGAACAAGGGTATAGATAAGAACACTCACCTGGCTTACTACTAGCTCAAGCTCTGCCATGTCTCTTGCCATTTGAAGCTTTCCAGACTCAGAAAGTGGCCTGACAAGCGCCGCATGCCTGACAAAGAACAGGAGGACTCGAGCCGCCATACGCTTGACCAATCCAACTCCGAGCCCCTCTTCTGCGCATTGTTTGAGTTGAAACGATGCTGCAGACGAAAACGACAGTGAAACTGGTTGAAGCAGCTTCGATAAGAACTCGCTCCTGTAGTGTGTAATAGCTTCTTGCACTTCCTGCATATATCTTGAGCTCCCAGTCTCCGTGTCCACCTCCACTTCATCACTGGCAACAATAACACAACCACAACAAGAACGAAGCATGAGTAGCAACACAAATCTGATCTCTCTCTCTCTCTCTCTCTCTCCGTTTCCACCTCCACTTCATCACTGGCAACAATAGCACAGAGAACCACAACAAGAATGAAGCATGAGTAGCAAGACAAATCTCGCCCTCTCTCCCTCTCTCTCTCTCTCTCTCTCTCTCTCTCTCTCTCTCTCTCTCTCTCTCTCTCT